TGCAAATGGGTTCAATAGATTATTCAGAAACAAAGAAGCAGATTGCTAATGCCAAGAAAAGAGAACAAATCCGAGAGAGGGAACAAAAGAAGAAAATGAAGAGTGAAGAAGCCATCCAAAGAGAGGAAGAGCTGTGTCAAGATGTTTATCACTTCTTTGATAGTTCTTCTGATGAACAGGAAGCAACATCAGATGATAGTTCCAAAGAGCCATCTGAACCTTTACCAAAGAAAATGAAATACAACACAAGAAATATTTCAAACATTGCTTTAGCTAGTATTCGCCACCATGCTGGACTTCGTGAGGCTGCAGAAATTGCAACTGCCGCTTGGATAGATGCAGGCCTCATCAGCCGAGAGGATGTATCTTTGGTGATAGATCATAATAAAATTAGAAGAGCACAAGAAAAAATAATGAAGGAAATATCTGATCAGCATGAAAAAGATTTAAGCGAGGGAGGGCTCTCCTGTCTTTTGTTTGATGGAAGAATAGATGACACAAAAGTTTTGCTAGAAGTAGAGGGAGTGAACAGAAAGTTTCCAGGTCTCATCAAAGAAGAACACTACTCTGTCTGTTCTGAGCCTGGTGGTCGGTTTTTGTTTCACTTTGCTCCCGAAACTGAAGTAGAAGGGAAGAAACATGCAGAGGTCATTGCTGATCATATTTTATGTTGGGTTCAGGAGAGAGGACTTGGCAGTTCACTGCAGGCTGTTGGTGGAGATTCAACTGCAGTGAACACCGGATGGCAGGGGGGTGTAATGACGCATTTAGAGAAAAACTAGGAAGAAGACTTGTTTGGATTGTATGTGATTTACATACAGGCGAGCTACCTCTTCGTCATCTCATCCAGGAACTTGATGGTCCTACAAAGAGCAACAACAAGTGGTCAGGTCCCCTTGGCATCATGCTGGATGAAGCAACACAACTAGAAATAAATACAACCTTTCCAAAGGTCGAAGTTGGCCCTCCCCTTCCGGCGTTGTCTGAAGGAGTCATCAAAGATCTCAGCACAGATCAATCCTATGCTTATCGTATTGCCCAAGCAATAAGATCAGGAGAAGTGCCTCAGTCATTGGCTCTCTTGGAGATTGGACCTGTCAGTCACAGCCGTTGGTTAACTACAGCTCTTCGTTTCTGCAGGATTTGGATTTCCAAACACGAATTGAGGGGCAAAGTGCTGAAGAATTTGAGGTTAATTGTTGAATTTATTATTGGAGTTTATCTTCCCCAGTGGTTTAGTGTGAAACTTAATCCTATGTGGGTGGATGGGCCCAATCACCTTTTGTTTCAATTGCAGCTAGTAAGAACACAGAGGAAGGTAGTGAGGGACATCGTGTTACCTGTGGCAAGAAGGTCCGCTTGGTATGCTCGATCAGAAGCAGTTTTGCAAGCAATGCTTTGCAGTCAATGTACCAATCTCCGAACCGAGGCTGTAGAAGTCATTCTAAAGATTAGAGGAACGCTAATAGATGACGACCAGTTGGGAGACTGTTCGTTTCATTCAAGAAAAGTTCCCCCAATAAACGTCAATGCCACCAAATTGTCAGAATTGGTTGACTTGAGTTTGGAAGTCTTAGAGCCACCATTGACAACAAGTCTAACTAGCCAAGAATTGAGAAACCTTAAAGAGACTCCAATGCAGGTGCCGAAGTGGCCTTCCCACACTCAAAGTGTGGAGAGATGTGTGAAAATGGTCACAGAAGCAGCGGGCCATGTTTACAGCCACGAGAGGCGAGAAGGTTACATCAAAGCACAAATAGCAAGCAGACTACTGATGACAAGAAACCAAAGCAAAGAGAGTATGAAGGCATTGGTTACTTTCAAATAGACTACGGATAATAAAATATAATAATTTGAAACTTGAAACAGTAACATGTGTGCAAACGCTGGTTATGTTATAAATTCACAAATATGTACATTTAAAAATCCATTTGATGTAGGTAGGACTTATTATAAAAAAAAATTTATGCCAGAATATTGTTTTGCATGCTTAAAGACTACAATAAATTGCTACCAAATTACTCGATTTTCAATTTAGCCAGTTCACCCCCTAAATTGACACACCCTAGTACTGAGACTAGTATTATTAGTATAGTGCTAGTGTGGCTGGTAACAACAATTTCAGCTGTTGTCGGTGGTGTGGGCGCAACGCGATGGTGTGTCGGGTGAGGAGACCATGACACAGCACCAGTCATGTTCTCTTTACAGCAGCAACAAAAACAGTGATTTTGTTGTAATGCTGCTGATCTGGCTACCAAGAAGCACGTTCCTTGGTGGTAAATGCCGCAGCTGTGGTAGTACTTGTTTGTTACTGAGATACACGACCCTGGTGCTGAGTGTTACTGTCATCTCGTTACACACACACACACACACACAACCTGTAGCAACATGTATGGTTGTATACACACAGAACACATCAACAGACCCTCAGTAAAAATTAGGCCTCAGTGGTTGTGTAGTGATATTCAGGTCGTGGCTGAACCCAGGCAGTTTCAGTTCACATGAAGAAAAAGCAGCTGAAAAAGTGCTCGAAGTCTTTAGCACACATTACCATTAGTGAAATACAAAAGGGAGAATACTATACAAGTTGCCATATTCTTTGTATCTGGATTATTAAGTCACAACCTCTGGCTGTTTACGACCATAGACACACACAGAGTCTATACAGTACCTAACTATTTTCAAATTTAATAACCTTTGAAATATTATAGACTTGACAGCGTACACACGAAGAAGTATACTAAGACCAGAATAAAACCTTAAAAGTTGTCATTTAATTATAATTAATCCAGTGTGTATGTGTTACAAACAATATTTTTAATGCTACTAATTTTCAAAATGGGTCAGATAATTTATAGGATACCTGGTATAATTCTTATCTTTCAAATTACAATTATCCTTGACCCGATTGTCCAAATACTAAACATTTATATCGTCGTGCAGTGTACCGCAATCTATCGCACAATAACTCATGAATAAATAAATAGATAAATAAATAAATATATATATATATATATATATATATATATATATATATATATATATATATATATATATATATATATATATATATATATTGATAAAATCACACGGGAAAGAAACAACGGACCTTAGCTTTCGTCTTTATTCAAGACATCTTCAGTTGCCTCTGAAGATATCTTGAATAAATTTATCTTATCCACGTTTTCATTGTGGATCTACATGAAATATATAAATATATATATATATATATATATATATATATATATATATATATATATATATATATATATATATATATATATATATATATATATATATATATATATATATATATATATACAGAAAGAGAAACAATAATGTCGTTTAGATTAGGACACAACAATAAATAAACGTTTTTGAATATGAAGAGGAGAAATATTTTCATCATCACGACATTTAGAGGAAGACGCCATGGTTACTGGCTATGTAAGCCCTAATCATAACAGCGCCTACTCATCAGACCAATTCTAATCTAATCTCATCAAACCAATTCTAGGAGCTCATTAAATCAGCCACCGTCGCCATAAGTCAACTAAAGAGCTGGACGCACACTGAGGTCTATTGGTTAAAGTGACTACACGTAGCTCTTCTCTTTAACCCATCTCCACCAACATCAATAGACTATAGGAGGGGTGAATACTTCCTTGTGATGTGTCACTTTGAAGGTTAGGGTTGAGAGTCTTTACCAAATGTGGCACCCAGCAGCCTACGTGATAAAACTGAGATAAGCACATAAAATACACTCAATCGCTCAAGATACTCACTCAAAACACTCTCACTCAACACACTTTCTCAAGAAACTCACTGAGGAAGCTAACTCAACACACTCATTCAAGACACTCACTTAAAACACTCGGGTGCGACGACGGTGGTGGCGGTGGCGGTGGCGACAGCGGTGAAGGCAAGGCGGCGGCGGCACAGCAGCGGCACGGCGGCGACGGTGGTGGTGGACAGGAGTCTTCCCAATGCCAGTATTCTCGCTAACGCCAACTGTAAGAACTTCGAGGTTACCATTACCCATGAGCAACTACGTTGGAGTGGCCATGTTACCCATATGGATGACCTCCACAGCTACTTTACAGCCACCTAACGAATGGCAAACGTAACGCTGGAGGGCAACGGAAAAGGTGTAAGGATAGCCTTAAGACAAACCTGAAAAGGGCCGTATCGGCCTCTCGAGTCACCTCAGAGCTTACCAAGGAAGGTGACGTTTTTAATAACTCATATAATTATATCATAGCTGGGTGATAAGCATACTCGATTCCGAATGACAACACAGTAGTAGTAAGCCAAGAGCTACACGTACACCATGATTTCCTTATACCATAAGTAATGGGCCTGAAGTTATAAGGTGTTTGGTCCAGATGCTTCAGGTCGATCAAGAGTCTCAGTTTTCTATTTTATACCAGAGTACAAGTTAATGTAACACGAGATTCAGCGTTTATAATAACCATAGGCCCTCTCGCGTCAGAGTACAGTACAACGCCATTTGTAGTTATAAGATACTGAACGATATCTCACCCTCCAAGGGGATGAGAATTTCCCGAGTAAACAAGAGCGTTTCCTCAACAAAGTTTGCCAAGTGAGTGGGTTTTGTTATTGATTATGAAGTGAGCACCAAACTAGTAGACCTTAGAACTGGATTTTTTTTAACTAACCTTCGCGCCCTAAGCCAACCTTTAACATTATGATGCCCTACACGAGTAGATGTATTTGATGAATCTATAAAATCTCTCTTGCATGTAAGTTACTAAATAACTGTATTATCCCTTATAATTTGAGCATTGGCTCTAAAGGTGCTACACAAGAGCATTCGACCAAATTGATCTTAAGCTTAAAGTGACTGTGGTATGGCGGCGCGACAAATCCTCCCTCGCAGCGTCGAGTAACTTTTGATCTTCAACACCAGAAGTTGGTTCGCGCAGGCGGGAAAGGTGAAGGTCCCGCCCGCCAAATATAAACGAGGTACCCGCCGGTCAGAGCGCAGTGACCCTTCAGCTCCCAAGACGAGAACATGTTGGCCATAGTGAGTATCTTCTAACCAGCACTTTTAAGCAGGTGGACTTGTCTTGACATATGGTAAACGTTTAGAGAAGAGAGTATACAGCTTTGGACGTACCTGTTTTATCAGTGGATTTGTAAACATATAAGTGTTATGTGTCTGGTTCCATGGTTAAACTCTAAACTATGAAGAGATTAGTCGTTTAGTTCAGTATTAAAGCTAAAACAATGAATTCAATAGTCTTAATATATACACCAAGTTAGTTTTATATTATTATTAAGAAGTGATGTGGTAGAATAGTGGAGGAAGTACTTGAGTAGCAGTATAGTGGAAGAAGTACTGAAGTGGCGGTGTAGTGGAGGAAGTACTGTAGTGGAGGAAGTATTGGAGTGGTGGTGCATTGGGAGAAACACTGGAGTAGTGGTGTAGTGGGGGAAGTACTGGAGTGATGGTGTCGTGGGGGAAGTACTGGAGTAATGGAGAAAGGAGTGGAGTAGTGCTATAGTTATGTAGGTGGAGTAGTGATGACGTGGTAGAGGTGTGAGTGGAGGGAGTCGTGTTGTAATTGGAGGAAGATTCACCACTTGAGGTTGGTGCCAGGTCATCAATGTTAGTGCTCGCGTTAGCAAGCTTTTTTTTATTAGGGTTGCGTCGCTCGAGGTTTTGACAACTTCAGTCTGGAAGCACTTGCTTACTGGCTCTTTTATACACTAGCCTCAATCCTACCCACCACATATTGCCCCAGCCAACTATATGGAAATATTTGGCAACAGTTTAAAGGCGAGTGAGCGACCATCTTAATATGGTTGTGTGTATATTTACTTATTTATTTTAATTTTATAATTGTTTTCAATTTATAAATTTTCCAATCAGTAGAAAGATAATTTATTGATGATGGTCGGTATGACTATTCCATGTATATATTTTTATTACTGTAATATGTTTACTTCTTGAAATAAAGTTACATTTACGAGTAACCAATGTGTTTTCTCTCCACAGGTGATGCTAGCGGTGGTAGCCGCCGTACAGGTGGAGTGCGCACCCACTCAATTTTCGCCAGGTTTCTTACATGCCCCCGCCTTTTCCTCGCAGCTATTCAAAAAACCAATCTTCACTACTCAGATAAACAAGGGCTTCCAAAGCAAAACTAAAGTGCCAGACCCCGTGGAGACCCAACGAGCCTACGATGACTTCATCCAGACGTGGATGGATCAGGCCAGACTCACCATCGACACCGCCAATGTTGCTAGGATCGCTGCTGAACCCTCCGTGAGTGAACCCGTTGTGGCCCGAGGAATCCAAGAGGTCATGAGTGACTTTGTTCCAGCTGACCCAGAGCCCACTCCCTTTGTGGAGCAAGAAATTATTCTCATGGAAGACCCAGAGATCAATGAGGCCGAATCAATGTTCGAAATCATGGTTCCGGTTGCAACCGAGATGGCGGTTGTAACTGAGGAGTTTATTCCCACTGTGGCTCCCGAAGAGGAAATTCCTGCTGCCGTCGAAACGGAGTTCACCGGATCTCTCGTGGTACAGGATGCCGCAGATGTTCTTGTCGAGACTCCTATCGAGGAAACTGTCTTTGTGGAACCTAAAGTAAAGTCTGCTGTAGAGGAGCCTGTTTTGGAATCTTTTGTAAAACCCACTGTTGAACAGCCAATTGTGAAACTCGTTGAGGAATCTATTGTGGAACCCATTGTGGAACCTATTGTAGAACCTGTGGTGGAGCTCGTTGCAGAACCTGTTGTAGAACAAGTTGTAGAATATGTGGTAGAACCTGTCGTAGAACCAGTGATGGAACGTGTTGTAGAGCCTGTTGAACGCATTGTCGAACCAGTGGTGAAGCGCATCGTAGAGCCTGTGGAGGAGCCCGCCGTAGAATCTGTTGTGCAACATGTCGTACAACCTGTGGTGCAACGCATAGTAGAACCTGTGGAGGAACCCGTCGTAGAACCTGTGGTGCAACGCTTTGTAAAACCTATTGCAGAACCCATATTGGAAGCCACTGTGGTGGAGCCAGTCGTGCAGCGCCAGCGCGTAGTGAAACCCGAGCGTCTGCCAGTTGCACGTCCCACCGGCAGGAGCTTCACCTCGGGGAGGTCCAGATCAGCTGTAGACACCATCCAGCAGAAGCCGACCGTCCAGCAGCAACGGATTGTCCAGCAGCGACCGACTGTCCAGCAGCGACCGACCGTCCAGCAGCAACCGTCTGTCCAGCAGCAGCCGACCTTCCAGCATCAGCCGACCCTCCAGCAGTGGCCGACCGTCCAGCAGCAGCCAACCTTCCAGCATAGACCAACCTTCCAGCATAGGCCAACCATTCAGCAGCGACCGACCTTCACCCACGAGCGGTTCCCTGGGGCGACCTTCCACCCCAGTGTCCTGGTACCTCAGCAACCCACACGTTCGTCATATATCCCCGCCCGCTCCAGAGATGCAGTAAACACAGACGGTTTGGCTTATACTCTGCAGTACTTCCCTACACGAGGACAGTCCCACTACTTCGTGTCCACGGCCATCGGCGGAGGCAGGAGATTTTAAAGGAGGGTCACTTACGTTAATATAAGGAATGTAAATATGCTTCCCTTCTTTCTTCTGCTGCAAACTTTTGACTGCTTCTCAATAGATTAAACGTTCAAGTTGGTTCTCTCCGATCTGTAAATATTCTTTATTTTTTGTATATATTCTAGGGTTTTTAAATGTGGCTTCCAGCATCTATTAGTAAAAAAAATATATATTAAAGATTATAAATACTGCTTTACACACAAAGCCACAGAGTCAATAATTTTTTATGTAAACCACAATAAAGAATCACGAATAAAATCTATACATTATTGACATTACTATAAGGTAACAAAAATTAGTATACAAGCACTGTTGTCTTGCATAGGTTATAACAGGATAGTGCTCAGAATGTTGGCGTGGAGGAGGGTCCCCTTCCCCGCTCTCCCCGCCCAAAACCTTCTCTCTCTTTCTTTATGAGGAGAGGCCGTATGCCAACAACAGCAAATTAAAACTACTGATGTATCAAGTTAATAAGTAAAATATAAAGTTATCATTTGGGCACCGAGGCAATATCAAGGTCCTGGTACGCTGTCTTGTTAACGGAAGCTAAAGAGCATTGGAATCGGTTTTCTCTTTTGTAATTTTTCAAGTAGAAAAAAGTTTGGTGCAGTTGTCCCACCCTACTGGGTCTAAGTAAGGAGTGAGATAAAGGACGTGACAGCATAAATGACCTTCGTGAAATATGAACCATTTACAGGTGGCTGTCTCACTTGTTATGTTTAATCGAAGTATTAACCTTTAAGTGTCAGTTTAAGGTCGTGCCCTGATAAACCTCCCCATCTCATTCCCCAAGGTACAGTAAAAAATAGCTATATGAAGTGTACTGAAGTTATTAATGTCTATCGGTTCAAGCGTCGGAGACTTATTTGATTTATACCACCAATCTTAAATTTTCGCTATGGACAAGAAAAAAGATGCACTATGGTAAAGAAAATACCGAATCTACAGATGATACAAATGTCTCAGACAACAGGACTTGCACTAGAGAGCTCTTGTGAAATAAAACTTTGTTAAAGAGTGATGGACCGTAATGCCTGCGTAAGGTTTTCATGCCGGTGAACACATCTTGCCAGTGACACACCTACTGACTACAGCGAGGCAGGTAGTGCCATACCTCCTGACAATGAGGAGGCAGGCAGTGCCGCACATTCTGACCGTGATAAGGCATGCAGTGCCACACATTCCTCACCATGATGAAACAGGCAGTACCGCACACCTTCACCATGATAAGAAAAGCAGTGCCACACATGGCCAGCATGAGGCAGGCAGTGCCACACATCTTGACTATGATAAGAAAACCAGTGCCACACATGACCATGATGAGGCAGGCAGTGCCACACTTCCTCACTATGATGAAGCAGGAAGTGCCACACCTCCTGACTATAGTGAGGCAGGCAGTACCACACCTCCTGACCATGGTGAAGCAGACAGTGCCACACCTGACCATGGTGAGGTAGGCAGTGCCACACCTCCTGACCAGGGTGAAGCAGGCAGTGCCACACCGCCTGACCATGGTGAGGTAGGCAGTGCTGAACCTCCTCACCATGATGATGCAGGCAGTACCACAACTGACCATAATGAAGCAGGCAGTGCCACACCACAGTGATGCAGGCTTTGCCACAACTCCTGACCATAGTGAGGAAGGAATTGCCAAACCTCGACACCATAGTGAGGCAGACATTACACCTCCTGACCATAGTGAGGCAAGCAGTGCCACACTTCCTTACCATAGTGAAGCAGACATTCCCACACATCCTGACCATAGTGAGGCAGACAGTAGCACACTTTTTGACCTACTATTACTACTTTGCTGTTACTCGGAATCGAGTATAACGATCATCCAGCGATGATACAATGATATGAGTTATTAAGGATATCACCTAGGTTGGTGAGTTTTAAGGTGACTAAAGAGGCCGATACGGGACCAGCAGATTCGTTCACAGATGTTGCACATGTGGATGGCTCCATTTAGTGCGGGAGGGGCTGCGGCAGCGTCTTTCCGGCGCTGGCGCTTGTTTGCCTCGGTTTGCAGTCGGACTAATTCGAAAGTATTGACACCTTCTCGCGTGGTGATCCTCCAAGCGTTACGGTGTGGAGTAATCGTCTCCCAGGTAAGGGGGACGATTTGGCACTTTTTCAGGTTTGTCTTAGACTATCCTTATACCTTTTCGGTTGCCCGCCAGCATTACGTTTACTATTCGTCAGATGACTGTAAAGTAGCTGCTTTGGCAATCTACTGTCGTCCATGCGGGTAACTTGGCCAGTCCAACGTAGTTGTTCATGGATAATGGTAGCCTCGATGCTCCTACAGTTGGTGTCAGCGAGAATACTGGCATTTGCTCTCTTGTCTTCCCAGCGAACTCGGAGGACGGAAAGTAGACTACATTGGTGAAAGTTTTCAAGTTCCTTGAGGTCCCTCCTGTACGCAACCCAAGTCCCACTGCCATATAGCAGGGTGGGGAGGACCACTGCTCGATATACGTGCAACTTTGTACATAATTTCAAATTCCCTACAGCTGAAAACACGGGTGTGGAGTCTGCCAAAGGCTTGAGATGCACATCTGATCCGATTCATCGATGTCTGCGGTAGTGGACAGGTGGGAGCTTGGATACTGAAATTGGGTAACATTAGAGAGGGTGGAACCATTAAGCTGGATGGATGGTGGAGGTGTGGCTGTAGCAGGGGCAGGCTGAAAGAGAATCTGAGTCTTACGTACATTCACCTCATGGCCGAAATGTGCATATGCATCTGAGTAGGTGTTCAGGATCTCCTGTAGGTCGCATTCAGTGTGAGCGACATGGGTGAGGTCGTCTGCATACTGAAGTTCAGTAGTGGAAGCTGCCGACACCTTTGTTCCTGCCTGGAGTCGTCTTATTTTGAAAAAAATCCTTCATCCAGCACCGCTATGTCCACCCCGCCAGCTAAATTGGCACACGCACGAGTGAGGAAGGCAGCCCAAAAAATGTAAAAAGAGAGTTGGCGCCAGTATATACACATCCTTGTTTTACCCTTGTTTGGATGGGAAAGAACTCAGACTGGGTCTCATTGTGCAGGAAACTGCCGTTCATGCAATTGTGGAGTTGCCTCACAATGGCAATGAATTTTGGTGGGCAGCCAAACCGGCTGAGGGTCCGCCAGAGGGCTTCCCTGTTGATAAGTCGAAGTCCTTGATTAAGTCAATGAACGCCATGTACAGGTCGCGACGCTGTTCTCTGCACTTTTTCTGTATTTGGCGGGAGCAAAGATCATGTCAGTGGTGCCACTGAGATTCTGGGAGGAAGTTTTCCGTCTCAGGCAGTAGTCTGTTGAGGAGGACTCAGGCGATAATCTTGCCAGCTACGGACAGTAGCAAGATCCCGTGGTAGTTGCTACAGTCAGACCTGTCTCCATTGTTCTTAAGAGCTTGGGGGATTTCCACGTTTTCCCATATATTCTCCAAGAGAGAGTGGAGACAGCTAGTAAGCAGACGTACTCCTGCTTTATATACCTCGGCTTGGATTCAATCAGGACCTGAGGCTTTGTTATTTTTCATCTATTCCATGGCAGTAGCACCTCATCCAGGGATGGAGGATAGCTGACATGAGTCAGCTGTGGATGTTGAGGGGCCTGCTGGGTAGTCAGGACATCCACATCGATGTTTCTGTTGAGCAGCTAATGGTAGTGCTCTTTCCAGTGCTGACGGATACCTTCTTCGTCTTTAATTAGGGAGTTACCGTCGGAGGAGCTTAGGGGGGCTGTGCCATGAGTAATTGGCCCATAAAAAGTTTTAGTGGAGTTGAAAAAATCACGCATCTTGTGTTGATCTGCAAGTTTTTGTATTTCACAGTTTACGAAGTTCACGCTGGGCCACCGCTTTTTTCTTGCGAAATGTATCAGCTTTGGACCTAGACTGACAGTTGTCCTGCCAGTCAGTTATAGCAGCACGTTTATCATCGACGATTCCTGGTGTATTCTTTCGACCTGGCCGAGGGTCTCTCTGCAGGTTTTTGTCATGGGTGTAGAGAATATTCCATTTGGCACTGGGATTTGGGTTGTTTGTTGTAGGGTTGTTTATCAGCCCATGTTCGAGCTGCTCTCTGAATGCATATGCTACCACTGGATCCTCCAGACGCTTAGTGTTAAAACCTCTTCTGGAGGCTTGTTGCCTTCCCCGTTTTGGGGCAACGTGAACTGAGATCTTGGCTTGACGAGCCGATGATCAGTATTGCAGTGGTCTGAGCTACGCATTGCTCAGGTGATGAGGACATCTTGGTGATCTCATTCTCTGACAATGATGTTGTCATGGTCACTGACTGCTAGTCTGTTTTAACTATTGATTCTTATTATACTCCACGAACACAAAACATGAGTGGGTTAGCTATCCCTGAGTAGACGTGTTTTTCCCCATCGACGCTTAGACTCATGATCCCTCCCAGTAAGTCCCGCCTTCGAAGGCAGTTGTCACACGTTGTTATTCCATTCTCTCCTGACAAGCTCAATCTTGAATTAATCTGTGTAAATCAACTCAAGTAATTCGCCAGACCTTTGTCAACTGAGGGTCATCCTTGAATGAGTAACAGTTGATTTGTTTGTGATTTCTGCCATTGCGTGAGTAGCAATCGCTGGCAACTCAGGGGTATATATACCAAGGCGGGAAGGAGAGACGTCCTCCCGTGACGCTCTCCCGTTTGTCTCCAGGTATGTAGCAGTGTTCCCTAGCCATTCAGTTTGATTCAGTCATTGTAGTGTATTATCTGTGTTCATGATTTAACAGTGGAATTGTCATTCACCCAGTGTAAGAAGTAATATAAAGTAAATGTCGTCTGACGTTGCCAGACGACAGATTTGTTGTGATGGTGTTGTCATCATGCTTCCCCCTCCGGTGACGCTCTCCCTCTCTCCTCACGCCAACTTCATTGTCCTACAGATTCCAGGGTGTCCTCCATTGAACACCCCATCGGCTGCTGAGCCGGTGGGTAACCAGCAGGGATCAATATATGCATCGTTGTCGGTGATTCGACATGATTAACTCACTACAAATCAACATCACGGGGCTGGACCCCAGACGCTCACCACGTGTCGGAGTACACCCGACCTCAACAGCAGTCGTCAGTTGTTAGAGGCGCCAGTGCTATACCCTGGGACATGCCTTGGAGTTATGGTCCACAGTGTGGCTGTATGTGTTTGTTAATAATTATCCCATGTTGGGTAGCGAACTCATGTATTTGCTGGTATCAGTATTAACGTGTTGTGTGTGAGTGCATCTCCTATGCACTAC